AAGATGATGTCATGGGGTAGGACTGGATAAGTCTGACTTCTTCCTACTCCATTCAAGCATGTACTAGGTATAAGCAAATTGATATTGGATTAGCATTTGTTGGATATGTGTAAAATTATGTGTGTTGACATATCAACTGTCTTTACATGCTTGAAAGAAAAGAATAAATCAACTCAAATTATTATATTCTATATTGATAATATCTCACCTGTTACTTTTTCTGCTTTTTTTCCATTGAGTGCCTGCTTTCTGTCCCTTTGCTGTTGTAGCCCTGTCAACTTGACCGTTGTGGGACTAATAACGGTTTATCTTATCATATCTTATCTAGGAATATGGTGACTTTGCTTAAAGTCCAAAAGGTAGGAATATGGTGACGTTGCTTAATGTCCAAAAGGTAAGAGCCACCAGCAGTCAGGTGATTGCACAGGTTGTAAACAAGCCAACAGTTTGAAAAGATTATCTAGACCATATTATTTGGTAAAACCAAAGTGATCACACCCACAATGTTAACCCCTAACTAAACCAAATGTTTATTTCAAATCCTTTATTGAGTAGCCAGGTAGAGAGGTGACAAGAAATTAAGGGAGAGGGAGGGAGAGAGAGAGAGAGGAAATGACAATGTTCTTGGTTGAACATAAAGCTGTTGTAGTAAGGAGCAGGACCTAGTCCACCAGGCACCCCAGCAAAGTTGTTCTATTACTGGCCGGCTGAGTTTGGGTATTCATTTTACCAATTTTTTTGTTTTCTCTTCTGAATAACTTTGGCTACCCAGGGGAGTTTGTTTAACCTATCCAATCATCTGATTAGTGTGTTTCTTTTTAGCAATGCCATGTTTTCATATCTCAGCAATTTGCTTGGTGAGTATAAGCGAAGTACTGTCATAACGGATATAAGATCCAAGCTGTAATAAACTGGAACTAGTCACTATTCTAAAAGTGGCCCAAAACTTTGTTCTGGCGTTGAGTCTGTTTTACAAAGTGAAAAAATGTTTAGTTAAACCTATATTTCATTATCTTGTCGATATCAACATATAATCAAATTGCTTTATCTAATGTGTTGCATAATTCTGGTCTAAGAATTGTTATTTTAGTTTTACAGCCACTTTCCTGTTTGGTTCAGTGTCATAGCTTTCTGCACCCCCTACATACCATCATTTCCCACAGTTAAAACAAATGTACACTACCTGCTCAACTTTGAACATCTAGCATCTAAAGAGACAGAGAGCTTTCCCAGAGGTTAGTATGGCTAAGGCAGAGCTAAGCACTAAGTAAAAATTTGATTTGGATTCGGGTGGTAGCCAGAAACATGATTCTATATGAATGCTAACATTTGTCTTTCTCAGCTAATGCAGCTAATGAGCCATTCCATGGCTGGGCATATGTTAATTTGTTCAGAGTAATTCATCTTTAGTTTAAAGACTGAAGCTTAACTCTCAATGACTGGGAGATTGGAATAGTTTGCTCTGTGAATGTGTGTGTGTATGACTTTTCTGTCCCACTCAAATGACTCACAACTAGCACCATCCCCACTTGACAGATATATGTATCTGGCAGCATGACAGGGGAAACTCACAGGCCTGACTGACATAACGATTATGTGAAGGACTGTACATCATTTTAACCGGTGTGTCTGCCATAAACGTATATTACAACCACACAAAACATCCGTCACCATGTCAGCATGTGCCTGATTACACCCTGCTACAGTCATGCTGTCCTTTTAGAGGGGAAAACTACCTCAAATTCAGATAAGAAGGGTTACGGAGAGTGATAAGGAAAGCCAGACATCTGTGCAGAGCACCAGGGGTTATCACAGACTCACAATGAACTCTGTATGCCAAGAGAGGCATATACAGTCACTTTTTAATATACCTGTGCTTTTGATAATAACCCACAATAAAAAATTTTGTAAATGAGAGATTTCAACATAGAGTTTTAATAAATTTGAAAAGGTCTTAACATGTTTTCACTTGTCCATTACGGGGTTAATGACTGATGGACAAAAATGACAGTTTCATCTTCATCAAACTGAATCTACAACACAATGTGTGGAAAAAGTGAAAGGGTCTGAACACTTTCTGAAGCCACTGTAGCTTAGCATAGCTGCTTTCAGACTGAATTTTTGTCTTCAAAACCATGAAGGTGTTCAGATAAGGAGACACTGTTTCATACAATAAGCCCTGAAAAGCATTTAGACAGGAAAACATTTGCTTTTAGAGATACAGATTCAGTACGCAGAGGCGGAATCAGACATTCAGAGATGCATCGCCTGGTGTTATCTGATGATAAAGCCAAACTTTGGGTGTGTGGCTGCATGTGGGTTTCTCGATTGGTTGTGTTTGGCTCATACAGTACCAGGGATGACTCAGAGTCATGGATGACATAAGATGGATGACAGGTTGAAATACCCTCAGATTCAAAGGCATCTTTGATGATAATTCAATTTTTAGATGGTTAACTAAGAAAATCTCTTGTTTACAAGGTTGGAACCTGATCATAAGTGAATGGAGTATGCAGGTCCTGTCCTAAAATATCCTAATTCAAATATGTATAAACAATTAAGCTCAATGACATGAGGAGGGATAAGACAAACTGAGAAAGAAACTACAGTACTTATTTCCATTAGTTAGATAAACAAGAATCAAAACATTAAAAAACAAAGCTAATTTTTGTGAAATATTCAGACATAAAGGTTAAAGAGGCCAAAGTAAAAAATAAAAAAGGAAACACGGTCATGTGAAATGAAACCTCCTACAACCAGCCAGTACTAGGGATTATATGATTTTTTCAGTAATAAGCACATTAGGAACTTTACAGTGCTCTTAATCTTCTCATAATTAATGGCAGCATAGAAGGAGATGTGGCCCTGCTGGGGCCAGCCAGCAGGGAGCTAACAGTAATGTCTCAGAACACGCACCACACTCTGGCCTACTTTGTGATGATGGATTCTTAATCTTCTTAACAATAAAAGCAACTCTATCTGCTATTAAGTCTTAAAACTCTACAGGAGTGAGGTGTGCCAACTGGTCCAGTGGTGTAAGGACAATAACCTCTTCCTCAATGTGGGGAAGACAAAAGAGATCATTGTGGACTTCAGGAGAAAACCTCTAAAGCATCCACCACTGACCATCGATGGTGCTGTAGTGGAGAGAGTGAGCAGCACTAAGTTCCTGGGGGTTCACATCTCTGAGGACTTCTCCTGGACCAACAACACCACATCACTGGCCAAGAAAGCACAAACACGCCTCTACTTCCTCCACAAACTGAGGAGAGAAAATGCCCCACCCCTGTCATGTGCTCCTTCTACCAGGGCATAACTGGTTGCATCACTGTGTCGTATGGAGCCTGTACTGCCTCCTGCAGAAGGACCCTGCATCTCATAGTGAAAACAGCCAGCAAGATCATCAGTGCCCCTCTGCCTTCCCTCAAGGACATCTTTAACACCCGCCTCACCCGTAGAGCCATCAGCATCGCTGAGGACACCTCCCATCCCGCACACTCCCACTTCAGACTCCTGCCTTCAGGGAGAAGGTATTGGAGTCTTCAGGCCCACTCCACCAGACTTACAAACAGCTTCATCCATCAGGCTGTGAGAATGCGGAACACTGTCCATTAGGTTGTACCGTTTAGTTTCATCCTAATGACTTTGACTTAGTTTTCCTATTCTTTTTACTCTATTTTTACTCTACATTTATTCTATTTTAGTTTCCTAAAAGGTATGGCATTCAATACTAGGTGAGAGAGAAGTGGTAATTTGATTTTCTGTATGTCCTGCACATATAGTGAACTGACAATACAAATCTTTGATCTTTGATTTAAAATCCCATGTGTTGTATGGTTTGTATGTCACAGAGATGTCTTTTAAGGAATCCGTTGTCATTATTGTGAACAAAGCCATATGTGCCATATGTGCATATTTGAATCAACTTCACAATTTGACATTGATGCACCATTATCCCTGCACTTTGAATTAACACTGAGCCAAAATATAAAGTAACACAAAACACTTAAAAGTTTAACAAAAAATGCCTGTTCACAGAATTGTTTCACTAAATGTATAAGTTAAGCTGTAGTTACTACTGACTCAAACTTTAGACTGATCAATGACAGTAGAGTACAAGTGATGAGCGGCCTGCAGGATTTGTCTGGTTTTTGTGTAAATGAAAACTCAGTTTAGTTGATAATACTAAAATGGAAATTTGGTGGCAAATGTGGATTTGTTGTAGCTTGGAGCCTGATGGTTTAGCTTACAGAAATATTCGAAGACAAGCTTTTAGAAACTGGAGCTTTTACAAGACTGCACTGGGAAGGTGAATGTTGTCCCTGTCTTCACTTGTTTCAAGACTTGAAAAATGTCAGACTAATTCTTTATTTCTTGTTAATGCAGTTTATGTATTGATTGATTTAACTGCATCGTGAATGAGTTGAGATTTCTGTGATGAGTGGTCCGCTGCTAGTGATGCTAATCACCTTCGTCACCTTTTTCCCACCGGCCAGTGGAAAAAGAGATGTCTGGATTGGAATGATGTGCTGAAGAACAATAAGTGGACTAGTTATCTTACCCCTTCATAACCATAGAAACTGATGCTAACCTCTGGTGAGCAATGCTGCTGCTGTAGGTCATTGACCCCAGAGACTATGAGAGACAATGGTACATTTAGGTTAGACATTGCTCGCATGTGAGTTTGGTTTGCATAATGTTATTTACTTCTTTGTTTTACATACTGTCTTACACTGTCTGTCAGTTACAACAAGTCTGGTCTTTGGTTTGGCTAAACCACTATAGGAATTAGCAAGCTCATTATTTTTAGTCACTAGTTCCGACGACTACATACACATATGCATTTAGTTCAAATCATTGCTCACCATTCAGTGGATGTCTGAGACAATTCCCATCTTCAGAGAGAAGACTGATAACTGAAACATTTCTGCTTTAAACAGTGAACCAACTTGTGTAGTCTGGGCAGGATCAACAAAAATGTTACAAATGAACAAAGGGAGAGATATTGCAGTTCATTAGTTCATCTGAAACCCAGGTCACATTTGACAATGTGGCCACCCCCAACAACAATTCACCTTAACAGGTCTGGGGCTGCGAGGCTATGACACAGATCAGATAACTTTTGAGGAGGGAACGCATGAAACAGTTCTCTGGTCTACAATTAGACAATGAATTTTGCAGTGCTATACAAAGAGAGAATGATTTATAAAATATATTAATGGAATACAAAACTGCATAATCAATGTATACTATTCTGGCACATAGTAATTCATGGTGGCTAAAAAGTATCCATAACAGCTTAGACATCACCAATATGCATGCACGCAGGCACACACACACACACACACACACACACACACACACACACACACACACACACACACGCATGCTTCTTACCGCTGTGGAAAGTCTGGAGGCCAGCGTCATCTCCAGGTTGCCTTTAAGCCCGAGAAGTGCTGGGACTAGGATGAACACCTCCGACACCTCCGTGAACACCTTCCAGTGCTGCAACAACCGCCGTGTAATATCAGTAATACATCAACACAGTGAACACACTGTCATATTAGCACAAGATATATCAGACAGACATGCACTGTCACACACAGAAAGTCTCTCTGACCTTGTTCTATAATATTGATTCAGTTGTGAAACCAGACTTGTATGATGGATCAGATAGTCTGTCTCTACAGACTCTTCCCACTACTTATCATGTCGACTCTCCTTTAAAGGAGAACAAGGACACTGGGACTCCACACTGAAATGATTTACTGTTCTCCTTTGTTGGCTTGATTCTCCCCTTTCCCCTTGTGACTTCCCTCTTTTACCTTTACAACTTTTTCTGCTAAATACAATAAGACTGGGTTGCTTCATATCTCTCTATAATTACTGTGGCACTTACAGTATATTACACCAGTTATCATAATAATATTAACATTTATACAAAGGCTAAAATTTCTGTCAATCCACATGGTGGACACTAATGCCACCTCTTATTCTTGTCTAGAGCTCTGAGATGCTTCCAGATCTCTGACTTGCCTAGAAATGTATTCAAAGATTCATCTCTTCCTAGCAACCAAAATCACAGCGTCCATGTTGACTGAAAATGATTTTGACTACATCCCGTCTCTTAAACACAAATCACTAATCTGAACAGAATGTCAGGCTGAACAAATAAAGCAAAATGAAACTATACAGCACTCCGAGAGCGCAAACTTCCACCAAGGCAGGTCAGTGTCCCCATAATGCCATTACACCTTAAGCAACATTCCCATGATAATGTGATCTTAATACTATGATTCCTTGACCATGAAAACCTACCCCTGGCATTTGGAATCACACTTATATCATTATTAGTTCCATGTTATTCAAGAAGAACATCATGGCAGTAATGGTGATTTTCTTCGGGATCTTTATTATTAGAATATCCAGATGTGGATGTTACTGTGCAATTTTTGCTATTGTAGGCATTCTGTATGTAGTTAGAAGCAAAACTATAGAAATCGGCCCTATCTCATAATGGTGAAGAATCCTTTAAAAAAATTACTTGATCCAGATAATATCCTGGAAAGCATCAAAATCTAATGCATTGTTCCGTGGACTATACCCTACCTCTCCAAACAATTTCATCCTAATCCATTCATTACTTTTTGAGATATGCTGTGAACAAACTGTCAAGCCAACCAATAAAAAAGCTTTAATGATGACAGAAAGCTCAGTATAAAAACAAAACAGTAACTCCAGTGCAGTGGGACATACTTTGATGGTAAGGGATCCACAGAATTAAGACAGTCATCCCCCTGCCTGTCTTTGCTGCTCAGCCTCTACATCAGCTGAGTTTTGCTGCATGCATTACTCCCACAACCAAAGATGTGGTGTGAAACACACCCAGACAGGAGTTAAACCAGCTAAATCTTGAGCAGGTGCTGGGATTGCTCACAAATCATGTTTAGCACACACAACAGAATGTGTCCGCTCAGCTATGCATCCAGAGCCAAGTAAATGGCCTTTGATAGAATTTATAGTCAGACCTGACCCCCGATAACCTCCTCCCTGGCTGCTGGCCAGTCCTTGAGAGGTGGGTTCCCTGTAAGTCCCGGGACTTGCCGCTTTGCTGAAGTGCCTCTCTCTGCTGTGCCTCCATTAGAGTTCATGCAGTGATAGCAGGATTGTGGCCTACTGTGGCCAGAAACAAAGCTATTGCTAGGGCTGAGGCTATCGATCCACGTGTAGTAAAAGTGCTTACAGTATCTTTGGAACCGGTCCCACAGGCCCCTCAGCACTTACAGTCCAGTCTGCCCAGAGCTGAATCAATATTCACTGAGGCTGACAGAGAAGAAAAGAGAATAGGAGAGAATAGAAGAAGGGAAGGAAACAGAGGAATAGCTGACATTGAAGCTACAGACAAACACCGCTGGCCTGCATTTCTCACACTAGCATGTCTGCATTTCTCTTTCATTGTGCGGCTCCCACTGTGCGTCCAGATGTACAGGGAGGGTTGATAAGGGGTGTCCTCTACAGTTCAGTGTGTGTTCTATCAGTAGGTGTGGCCTCGAATCTCCTATGTGGGTTAAAGCCCTTCTGTCTACCCCCTTGCTGTCATCAGGCCAAGCACAGCTCCTTTCTAACAGCCAGCTTGGCTCCTTGCCTCCTGCCAACCCAGCAGCCTTGTGAGCACTCCTCTCCTCTTTCACAGCCGCATGTTTTCAAGCTTTCTCCATCTCTCTCTCTACTTCTGTCTCATACCACCATCTCCCTCTTTGCCTCCCCTGTGGTGATATATGTTGTTGTCTCTGTGGAACACTGGCTCTGAGCCAAACAAGCCCTCCCTCCTCACGGCCACCTCCTCGGTTCTAGGAACTCCACTGCGCAACCCCAGCACCTCTGTGTTCAGACCTATAGGAGCTCTGGTATGCGAGCCCCACAAGGGTCGCGTTGCCCAGTGGAGCAACATGGCCCCATTTTATTATGTGATCACTGTACTTGCTATACTGAGTGGGAAGTTGAACTTGATGGCATGCAAAGTCAACTCAGCTCTGGCAGCGTCATAGAAGCGACACCAGGTGGCACCTGCTTCATTTCCTTGATGCAATTTGGATGGTGGAATGTAAGCCCTGTTCCATGTGCAAACACGTGCCACTGAGGGGCAAGTTAACACTAAAATTACTGGGGTCAGTTTGAGGAAACAAGTCCACAATCTGGTTTCACAGTGGCTACTGTCTGAAAACCAGGCTAGATTCGACCAAAATGGTGTCTGGTGGCCAACGAGGGCTTGGCTGGTGTGAAACCTTTGTTTCAGCTGTGATTTCCTGTTTACTTGTCCCTGTATTTTTTTTATGTTTATTTTTTTGGCTAAGTGGCTAAGTGGTGTCTCATTTCTTTGCTTTATTTTGGTATTTTGGTGTACGGACACCACATTGTGGGATAGGCGGCTAGACTCTGAGGCAGACATACACACAGAGATGACTGTGATCTTATACTGTGCTTTTTTGGTATTTGGGGTTCTTAATTTTTTTTTTGGACTTTCAGATGACAGAAACTCAAACTGTGACATGTGACTGCAAATCACAGGGAAATAAGTAGTACATGACTTTTATAAACCATGTGTAACCTCTAGTCCAAGTGAGCTGGTCAGTGACCCTCAGAGTTTTAAGTTTCTGGACCTGCCAATGAGAGACTGACAGTTTTTGGTCATTCTGCTGCCAAGTCACTGAGCTGAACTACACAGAGGTTTCACTCCTCCATACCAGCCAGGACAGTCCTTTTTGGGCCAGCCTTGAGTGGGAATGAGGCCAGAAGCTGTGTGTGTATGTGTGCTATAGATAATCAAAGCGACCAATGTGGCAGCTGTGGCTGAGGAGGTAGCGTGGGTTGCTCCCCAAACGTAGGATCGGTGGTTCAGTCCCTGGCTTCTTCAGTCCACATGCTGAAGTGTCCATGGGCAAGACACTGAGCTCTAAGCTGGCCCTGGCAATAACACTGGTGTGTGAGTGAACGTCTGTATGGGTGAATGGGAAATAGTGTTTAAAAAGTCACATCTCAAAGAAGTCTTATAAAGAGTGACACAAAAATCAAATTCTTGCATCAATCCAAGACACAACGTTTAAATTTGGGCCAGACAGACACATTAACGAAAGGCTTTAGCATGTTACATTTCTCAAACTTAGTCTCAGCAATGGAACTAGTGCAGTCTGATCAGAGAGAGAGGGAGACTGAGAGAGAGTTAGACAATTACCTTCTTGCAAGGATGGGGAGGGATTAGCTGAGTTAGCGCTTCACGGTGTCATGGAGGAGGAATTAGGCAGTGAGACAACCTGCTAGATGCTCGGCCAAACTAACTGGAACAGTTGTTTCAGACAGGCCTAAATTTCCAACTCATTGCATGCATTTCCTCAAGGTTTGCCCATAGGGATAACCATGCTGACTACAAGGGAGCGATAAGGCCTGTACCATCTGTATCTACTGTTTCCCCACCTCACCTCTAAAGCAATGGTGCACTGAGTGTTTTGGAAACTGGAGAAACCACAGCAGCATGGTGCCTAAGTGGAGGCAGCATGAAAACGTTTTGACCTCAGACCTCTGCATTCCTGGTTTAGTGAGGATACCTAACCACACGGTAATGGAGGCTTTTACACCGCACTGTATTTTGTTTTTATTCTGACTCTAGCTCAGCTGTAGTGTGCTGCCATTTCAGGTGCTCAAAGAAAGTACAACTAGTCCCCTGTCTGCTCCCCTCTTCTCTGTGCTGAGTTCCTGAAGTCCACCATGTTGGCATCAGTATGTGTGTACACAATGTGCCCAGACTGGTCTCCTGGCAGCCTGACCTCTCCTGCTTTATCTGCACCACAAGCCAACTTTAAACGAATATATGACCTGCCAGCATGACTTTGGTCTGCATTTCTACACTGCTCACTTAGATATACTCAGATCAAGACAGCAGCCAGTGTATCAACAGGAAAAGAAGGAAGAGAGTCATTTTAAATGGATTTATATTCATTTCTTGGGGGTACAGTGGATCCAGCAGCTCTTTGGTTAAACTTTGTACAACAATAAACACTTGCTATTCTTTCTATTGTATCAGGGTATGTCAAGATTTCAACCTGAAGGCTGTGTGATCCTTGATTTTAGGATCACACAGCACACACACAAAATCAAGGACCGCGACGTCGCCCGGCATGGCGCAGCCGGGGCCCCACCCTGGAGCCAGGCCCGGGGTTGGGGCTCGAATGG